GAATGAGAGCGAAACTGCTGGTCATGTGGGTCCTAAATCACGGAAAGATGAATTGGAAATCAAGAAATCACCAGGGCGGTGACAAATCGTGGGGAGCAAAGTTAGATGTTATAGACAGGAATTTCCTAACACAACAAGTGAAGGAAGACACAAAGGAAAGGAGGAGGAGATGCACCGAGCCTATTAGACCTGATTTTCACCCAGAACGTAGAAGATATCGAGAATTTGGAGCATGAAATACCTCTAGGGGCCAGTGACCATTGTGTCCTAGTCTTTAACTACATGATGGAATTCAAACTTGTGACCATGGGACAAGAGGTCTGGGAAAGGAGAGTTGACTATAGGAAAGGGGACTACAGGAGGATAAGGGACTATCTGGGAGAAGTGCAGTGGGAGGAAGAAATTAGAGGAAAAACAGGTCAAGATATGATGGACCTAGTCATACGGAAATGCCAGGAGGCCGAAGAGAGATTTATACCAACAGTAAAGGGAAAAAGTAAGAGGGAATATAATAACCCATGGTTTAATAGACAGTGTCAGGAAGCAAAAATGGCCAGCAGGCGGGAGTGGAGGAAGTACAGAAGACAAAGGACAGAGGACAACAGGATCAGATGCAACAGAGCTAGGAACGATTACATTAACACAAGAAGAACAACGGAAAGGATCTATGAGAACGATATTGCGATCAAAGCGAAAAAACAACCTAAATTACTACACAGCCATATAAGAAGAAAAATGTCGGTGAACGACCAAGTGACCAGACTAAGGAAAACAGAGGGGGCATATACAGAAAGTGAGAAGGAAATCTGCGAGGCACTGAATGCCACTTTCCATGGCGTGTTCACAACCGAGCCTGAGCAGCTCCCATTGTTAGAAGAGATTACCATAGATGAAAGACTATCAGATATAGAGGTAACAGCATAGGAGGTAATGAAACAGTTGACAACACTGGATGCAACTAAAGCAGTTGGGCCAGAAAAAGTATCACCGTGGATACCAAAAGAGGCAGCGCAGGCCCTCAGCGTGCTTCTGGCAAGGATCTTTAATGAATCACTTATGTCGGGAGAATTGTCCAATTGCTGGAAGAGGGCAAAAGTTGGACTGGTTTTCAAGAAAGGTGATAGGGAGGAGGCACTTAACTATAGACCTGTATCACTGACAAGCATCCCCCTGTTAAATACTTGAAAGAATAATTAGGCTACGACTGGTTGCACACCTGGAGAACATTAGGTTTGTGAACAAACATCAACATGGGTTCTGGAAAGGGAAATCGTGCCTAACAAACCTTTTGGAGTTGTATGATAAAATAACTAGGATAAGAAAGGACAGGGGCGGTCAGGCAGACTGCATATTTCTGGGCTGCCAAAAAGCCTTTGATACAGTACCGCACATGAGACTGCTGCTCAAACTCGAGAGGCAGTTGGGGGTGGGAGGAAAGGCCCTAGCATGGATAAGGAACTACCTAACAGGAAGGAACCAAAGAGTTACGGTAAGGGGCGAGAAGTCGGACTGGCGAACAGTAACGAGTGGAGTACCTCAAGGATCGGTGCTGGGACCAATTCTAATTCTAATATATGTTAACGACATGTTTACAGGCGTAGAGTCCTACATGTCGATGTTCGCGGATGACGCAAAGTTGATGAGAAGAGTTGTGACAGATGAGCATTGTAGGATCCTCCAAGAGGACTGCAACAGTTTTCAATGGTCACAACGAAATGGCTACTGGAGATCAACACAAGCAAATGTAAAGTTATGGAAATGGGACTAGGAGATAGGAGACCAAAGGGACAGTACACAATGAAGGGGAACAGCCTACCTGTAACGACGCGTGAAAGAGACCTGGGGGTGGACGTAACACCTAATCTATCTCCTGAGGCACATATAAATAGGATAACGACAGCAACGTACTCTTCACTGGCAAAAGTTAGAAAATCATTCAGAAACCTAAGTAAGGAGGCATTTAGGGAGCTTTACACTGCCTACGTGAGGCCAGTCTTAGAGTATGCCGCCTCATCATGGAGCCCCCATCTGAAGAAGCATATAAGGAAACTGGAAAAGATTCAGAAGTTTGCAAAGAGACTCGTCCTAGAGTTACGAGGGATGGGGTATGGAGAGCGCTTGAAGGAACTGTGCCTGAAGGAACACTAGAAAAAAGAAGGGAGAGAGGGGATATGATAGGAACGTATAAAATACTCAGGGGAATTGACTGAGTGGACATAGACGAAATGTTCACACGGAATAGTAACAGAACGAGTGGACATGGGTATAGGCTGGAAACTCAGATGAGTCACAGAGATGTTAGGAAGTTTTCTTTTAGCGTGAGAGTAGTGGAAAAAATGAAATGCACTTAAGGAACAGGTTGTGGAAGAAAACTCTAATCATAATTTAAGAAATAGATTTTATAGGGAAATGGGACCGGAGTCATTGCTGTAAACAACCGATGGCTCGAAAGGCGGGATCCAAGAGTCAATGCTCGATCCTGCAGACACAACTAGGTGAGTACACACACACACACACACACACACACACACACATTCCCAAGACTCAGCTCTCTAACTACCAGGTACCTATTAACTGCTTCGTGAACAGTTGCATCACATGAAAGAATCTCCTCCCATTTATTTGTTCCTCGTCCGGGAATCGAACCCAGGCCCTTAGGATTACGAACCCCCGAGCGATGTCCGATGGCGAGCGGTTAAGTATCTCCGAGACTGATTGGAAACAAGACTGAAGTGACGTCATCGATTGTTCCAGTCAAAACGGGGACCAATGACGCGACTTTGGAAGCGCAAGACGAGGCTGTTCAGTGGAGAACATTGTGGCGAGATGTTGCAGGTGGTGAGGATGTTGCAGGTGGTGGGGGATGTTGCAGGTGGTGGGGGATGTCGCAGGTGGTGGGGGATGTCGCAGGTGGTGGGGGATGTCGCAGGTGGTGGGGGATGTCGCAGGTGGTGAGGATGTTGCAGGTGGTGGGGGATGTTGCAGGTGGTGGGGGATGTTGCAGGTGGTGGGGGATGTTGCAGGTGGTGGGGGATGTTGCAGGTGGTGGGGGATGTTGCAAGTGGTGGGGGATGTTGCAGGTGGTGGGGGATGTTGCAGGTGGTGAGGATGTTGCAAGTGGTGATGATGTTGCAAGTGGTGGGGGATGTTGCAAGTGGTGGGGATGTTGCAGGTGGTGGGGGATGTTGCAGGTGGTGGGGGATGTTGCAGGTGGTGGGGGATGTTGCAGGTGGTGGGGGATGTTGCAGGAGGTGGGGGATGTTGCAGGTGGTGGGGGATGTTGCAGGAGGTGGGGGATGTTGCAGGTGGTGGGGGATGTTGCAGGTGGTGGGGGATGTTGCAGGTGGTGGGGGATGTTGCAGGTGGTGGGGGATGTTGCAGGTGGTGGGGGATGTTGCAGGTGGTGGGGGATGTTGCAGGTGGTGGGGGATGTTGCAGGTGGTGGGGATGTTGCAGGTGGTGGGGATGTTGCAAGTGGTGGGGGATGTTGCAAGTGGTGGGGGATGTTGCAGGTGGTGGGGATGTTGCAAGTGGTGAGGATGTTGCAAGTGGTGAGGATGTTGCAAGTGGTGGGGATGTTGCAAGTGGTGGGGGATGTTGCAGGTGGTGAGGATGTTGCAAGTGGTGGGGGATGTTGCAAGTGGTGGGGATGTTGCAGGTGGTGGGGGATGTTGCAGGTGGTGGGGGATGTTGCAGGTGGTGGGGATGTTGCAAGTGGTGGGGGATGTTGCAAGTGGTGGGGGATGTTGCAGGTGGTGGGGATGTTGCAAGTGGTGAGGATGTTGCAAGTGGTGGGGGATGTTGCAGGTGGTGGGGGATGTTGCAGGTGGTGGGGGATGTTGCAGGTGGTGAGGATGTTGCAGGTGGTGGGGGATGTTGCAGGTGGTGAGGATGTTGCAGGTGGTGGGGGATGTTGCAGGTGGTGGGGGATGTTGCAAGTGGTGAGGATGTTGCAGGTGGTGGGGGATGTTGCAGGTGGTGGGGATGTTGCAGGTGGTGGGGGATGTTGCAAGTGGTGGGGGATGTTGCAAGTGGTGAGGATGTTGCAAGTGGTGAGGATGTTGCAAGTGGTGAGGATGTTGCAAGTGGTGAGGATGTTGCAAGTGGTGGGGGATGTTGCAGGTGGTGGGGGATGTTGCAGGTGGTGGGGGATGTTGCAGGTGGTGGGGGATGTTGCAGGTGGTGGGGGATGTTGCAAGTGGTGGGGGATGTTGCAGGTGGTGGGGGATGTTGCAAGTGGTGAGGATGTTGCAAGTGGTGAGGATGTTGCAAGTGGTGGGGGATGTTGCAGGTGGTGGGGGATGTTGCAGGTGGTGGGGGATGTTGCAAGTGGTGAGGATGTTGCAGGTGGTGGGGGATGTTGCAAGTGGTGGGGGATGTTGCAGGTGGTGGGGGATGTTGCAGGTGGTGGGGGATGTTGCAAGTGGTGAGGATGTTGCAGGTGGTGGATGTTGCAGGTGGTGGGGGATGTTGCAGGTGGTGGGGGATGTTGCAGGTGGTGGGGGATGTTGCAGGTGGTGGGGGATGTTGCAGGTGGTGGGGGATGTTGCAGGTGGTGGGGGATGTTGCAGGTGGTGGGGGATGTTGCAGGTGGTGGGGGATGTTGCAAGTGGTGGGGGATGTTGCAAGTGGTGGGGGATGTTGCAAGTGGTGAGGATGTTGCAGGTGGTGAGGATGTTGCAGGTGGTGAGGATGTTGCAGGTGGTGGGGATGTTGCAAGTGGTGAGGATGTTGCAAGTGGTGGGGGATGTTGCAGGTGGTGGGGATGTTGCAGGTGGTGGGGATGTTGCAGGTGGTGGGGATGTTGCAAGTGGTGAGGATGTTGCAAGTGGTGAGGATGTTGCAGGTGGTGGGGATGTTGCAAGTGGTGGGGATGTTGCAAGTGGTGGGGATGTTGCAGGTGGTGAGGATGTTGCAGGTGGTGGGGGATGTTGCAAGTGGTGGGGATGTTGCAGGTGGTGAGGATGTTGCAGGTGGTGAGGATGTTGCAGGTGGTGAGGATGTTGCAGGTGGTGGGGATGTTGCAGGTGGTGGGGGATGTTGCAGGTGGTGGGGATGTTGCAGGTGGTGAGGATGTTGCAAGAGGTGAGGATGCTGCAAGAGGTGAGAATGCTGCAAGAGGTGAGAATGCTGCAAGAGGTGAGGATGCTGCAAGTGGTGAGGATGCTGCAAGAGGTGAGGATGTTGCAAGAGGTGAGGATGCTGCAAGAGGTGAGGATGCTGCAAGTGGTGGGGATGCTGCAAGTGGTGAGGATGCAGCAAGAGGTGAGGATGCTGCAAGAGGTGAGGATGCTGCAAGTGGTGAGGATGCTGCAAGTGGTGAGGATGCAGCAAGAGGTGAGGATGCTGCAAGAGGTGAGGATGCTGCAAGTGGTGGGGATGCTGCAAGTGGTGAGGATGCTGCAAGTGGTGAGGATGCTGCAGGTGGTGAGGATGCTGCAAGAGGTGAGGATGATGCAAGTGGTGAGGATGCTGCAAGTGGTGAGGATGCTGCAAGAGGTGAGGATGCTGCAAGAGGTGAGGATGCTGCAAGTGGTGAGGATGCTGCAAGAGGTGAGGATGCTGCAAGTGGTGAGGATGCTGCAAGAGGTGAGGATGCTGCAAGAGGTGAGGATGCTGCAAGGTGAGGATGCTGCAAGTGGTGAGGATGCTGCAGGTGAGGATGCTGGTGAGGATGCTGCAAGTGGTGAGGATGCTGCAAGTGGTGAGGATGCTGCAAGTGGTGAGGATGCTGCAGGTGGTGAGGATGCTGCAGGTGGTGAGGATGCTGCAAGTGGTGAGGATGCTGCAAGAGGTGAGGATGCTGCAAGTGGTGGGGATGCTGCAAGTGGTGAGGATGCTGCAAGTGGTGAGGATGCTGCAGGTGGTGAGGATGCTGCAAGAGGTGAGGATGATGCAAGTGGTGAGGATGCTGCAAGAGGTGAGGATGCTGCAAGTGGTGAGGATGCTGCAAGAGGTGAGGATGCTGCAAGAGGTGAGGATGCTGCAAGTGGTGAGGATGTTGCAAGAGGTGAGGATGCTGCAAGAGGTGAGGATGCTGCAAGAGGTGAGGATGCTGCAAGAGGTGAGGATGCTGCAAGTGGTGAGGATGTTGCAAGAGGTGAGGATGCTGCAAGAGGTGAGGATGCTGCAAGATGTGAGGATGCTGCAAGAGGTGAGGATGCTGCAAGTGGTGAGGATGCTGCAAGTGGTGAGGATGCTGCAAGTGGTGAGGATGCTGCAAGTGGTGAGGATGCTGCAAGTGGTGAGGATGCTGCAAGTGGTGAGGATGCAGCAAGTGGTGAGGATGCTGCAAGTGGTGAGGATGCTGCAAGTGGTAAGGATGTTGCCAGTGTTAAGGATGTTGCCAGTGTTAAGGATGCTGCAAGTGTTAAGGATGTTGCCAGTGTTAAGGATGCTGCAAGTGTTAAGGATGTTGCCAGTGTTAAGGATGCTGCAAGTGTTAAGGATGTTGCCAGTGTTAAGGATGCTGCAAGTGTTAAGGATGTTGCCAGTGTTAAGGATGCTGCAAGTGGTGAGGATGCTGCAAGTGGTGAAGATGCAGCAAGTGGTGAGGATGCAAGTGACGAGGATGTTGCAAGTCTGACATGGTTGGGAAGGACACTACCAGTGAGACATGGTAGGAGAGGCCGCACCAGTGAAGCGACCAATTAG